TTGTTATTTTATGTTTTTTGATGTGTCTATTGATGGTTGTTTTGGGAGAGAATGGCTGGTTGGATATTCTTCTATATCACTCATTAGATTATCTCTATTTCTGGATTAGGTACATCTATTTCTTCGTCGAAGATGTCCCAACTTGATATAGGTAGATCGGGTAGGTTAAGTAAGTATTGAGGAATTACATTGAAGTTGAAATTTTCTTGAAGTGATTTGATAGCTTCTGGTAGATTATTATAGCTATTGATAGGAAATTGTGTAGTGATAGAGATCTTATTTTTAGTGATCATTGTATTAAATGTTTCTAAGTTGTCTGGCAAGCTAGGCTTGTAAACTGCTGTTTGTGTTTTATTCTTTGATATATCGATCTAATTTTGCGGAAGGGTATAAAAGAAGTAATGTTTGTGAAGTTCTCTTATTGTAAAGGCAAGCTGTCTTGGTGTGCTTATTGGAAGTGTTAAGTTTATTTCAGAGATTTTTTGTGGATCCCATGGTAGATCCGGTTTGTTAGTGGGGTTTACAGTCATATAAGTAACTGGTAATGGTATAGTGATAGAGTATTGAGATCCTATTTCTGCAATAAATTATTCTGCCAGTGTCTTATTCTTAATTGAAAAGTCATATTTATTTGTAAGTTTTAGTGCTGTAGGGTCAACAGGTAGCTTTTTCTTTGCAGTAATGAAGTCATTTGGTAGCTTTTTGAAGTTGTAGTATTTTCTAAGTATTTCAATATGCTGTTTAAAGTCATTTGCATCCTTAGGGAGAAAAGGAAAAAGACATCTAATTCGTGGGTTTAATTCTTGCGGTGTGCAAGGTAAAGCAGGCTTAGGGTCTGGCAGATTAAAATAGGTCAGATGCATTTTAGTAAAGGTGTAGTAGACTGATAATTTTTTACGGTATTCTGATAGAAAATGTAGTTCTGATCGTTTAGTAATTGAAAATAAATCCCTAACTGCAGGGTGAAGTTTCTTTAAGTTTTCAGGTAGTGGAATTCTGTTTTCTACAAAATAAGATTCTGGGAGTTTTATAAAGGTAAAGATTTTCCTGAGTGCTATTACGATTGCTCTGGTATGATGTTGATCATTGATTGGTAGTTTAAAAGGTAAAATATCTTTGATATCTTTTGTAATCATATCAGGGGATATAGGTAGCGGAGTGAGGTGTTCAGTCAAAACTTGTCTGATTATACTCCTGACTTCTTCAAATGCGATTTTATTTTCTATGTTGGCAAAGCCCAATAGATAAAAGATCATACAAGTAGATTCCTGAGCATTTTGTTTTAGCAATTCCATGTTAGTGAGGTCGTCAATTGCAAGTTTTATTCTTAGCTTAGCAAAAATTTGATCACGATTGTTCTTATTTGTGATTAAAACATTATGTTGTTTCTTGTATTTGTCTAATGCTTGTTTGAAAAAGGCGTTAAATTCTAACTGGTGCTGTGGTTTAGTTAGGGAATTGCGAGAGAAAGAGCAGAAAAATGCTGTGTCTCGGTATTTAAATTTGAGTTGTATTGCTTTTGGAATAGAAAATTTGGTAGGTATTGTTTGAACTTTGTGTCATAAGAATTCGGTCAGCATTTTTGTTGTTTGGAAAGCTTCTGTTATTCTGTTTATGTTCCAGTCCTGTGTATCGAAGTATTTATCTTTTCTTTGTTCTAATGCCTTTGCTATTGTATTTGACCATAATGTGGTTTTATCCTCTTTGGAGGAAATCTGTTTAGAAATATCTGCTGTAAGAACTTGACTATATGATCTTTGATTTGAAGATAAGTTTTCTTGTTTG